ATGACAATTTGCTTCTTCTGATTTATGCAGACACCTGGTCTTCCAAATAGATTTTACCAGAAGTAACATTTTTATGCAGGATTGCAAGACTGTAAATGTTAGGTTAGGTTAGCAGAGAAAAACTTGCAAAATACATAAGGTAGATACTCTGGTAGTGAAAAATACCAAATATTATGAAAAACGTTTGAAAATCAGCTATGGATGAAGATTCAACCAAATCTGTATTTCCATTGTGACAACTAGATACTTCCTTGTGCCCTTCTAGATGTTCCTGAACTACATCTCCCAGCACCCCTCACCATTTGCTATGCTTCCTATTCCATGGAAGCTGTTATCTATCCTTTTACATTCCAGCAAATGGTATTAAGAGTCACATTCTTTGTGAATATGAAAATGCCATTTAGTCCTAATTGCTATCAATTCATTTTCATCCAGTTTATCAAATCCAGCATCATTAGGTAACTTCAGCTAGAAAAATAAGAAATTAAAACCCTCTAGAACAGTGATGGCGAACCTTTTAGAGACCGAGTGCCCAAACTGCAACCCAAAACCCACTTATTTATCACCGGGTGCCAGGTGAGCGTGGCCCACTGGGTGGGCGTGGCTGTGGTGGTCCATGGCAGATTGGGTGGAAGTGACCAAGGTGGGTGTGATCACCTTGATGTTGCTCGTGGAGAGGAACGCCTGTGGGGGCCGGGCAGGGTTGGGCGAGATCCAGGGGGTCTCTGCCACGTGGGGCGGTGGGCAGGAGGCTCGTCCTGCGGGATGAGGCGAGGCAGGGCAGGGGTGCCATTGTCACAGGGCAAGATGTGGCAGAGGCAGGGGCAGCGGCTGCCTGACACCATCGATCTCTGCACACAGAGGCCACCGAGCACATGGGTGCTGGGATGCATCCGGCCATGTGGGACCTTGGCGAGTTAGCGGGCGGCTGGTTGAAGAGGGATGGTTGCCATCTCCAGGGCATGGCCTGTGTGCCCACAGAGAGGGCTCTGAGTGCCACCTCTGGCACGCGTGCCATAGGTTCGCCACCACTGCTCTAGAATAAATATGTGGGGGGAAAGCAGGAAATTAATAGGCTAACTAAATGGTGCTCGGGTTGGGACTGTTTTTGCTGTTCCTTGAGCAATCCATGGGAGTTGTTCCAAGGAAAAGGATTCTCATTACTTCTTTTTCACATACATGCACACAGACAGACCTAGGGAATCCAATAATATGCAAGACTATCTTTGTCATCTGTGTTCTGTCTACTTCATTTCCAGCCATAAGAAATACAGCTTCATATTGTATGAAAAGCCAGGAAACCAATCCAGTTGCTAATTGTCAGTACATCGCATATGAATAACTTGTTTTCAAAAAATAGCTCCTTTAAAATAAAACAGGCAACCAAAAGTTTGGAACAATTTATGTCTTGGGTTTTTTTTTAAAAAAATAAAACTGGCAAAGATAGTCATATGTTGCTGCTGATGCTATTTTATTTTGTGCCTGAAAATATTAGCAATGAGGGATGCTCTCCAAGCATATCCTTTCCAGCTGAATTAAGAGACAACTTGATCAGCAACACACTCTAACATGACTGTTTTAAACCAGTGAAGCAGAAAATACCATCTGTTCTACATGAATATTTCTAAAATAGAACAAGAGCGTGTGGAGATGTCTACTTTTTCCTTGCAAAAATGTGAGAAAAACCATGAAAGATCCTGTTTTATAGGGAAAAGGGTGTGATGAAATATCATAGTTCAAACTTCAGTGTCATTAGCTTGTGGATTAATAGAGAACTTTCTAACTCAGTTTCAAAGGCATTATAAAAGCTATAGAATATTTTAATATATTTGACTCATTTTTACCTACAGCTAGTTTTAGTAAACATCTATGGTTGCTGTCAAGTAAAATCTTTCACTGGTTTTGTAGAAGCATGTGATTAGATTGAAAGGCATAGCACAAAAAAGCATTTTAACAAGAATTAACTACAGAATATTCAGTTTAGTTAGTATATGTGTGTGTGTGAGTGTATACACACACACACACACACACACATCCGTACATGTTTATATGTCATCATATTTCAGGATGAGGGGGGGAAATCAATCAGCATTAATTGTACATTATAGTATAATAAAAGTTCTAGTCCCACCTTTACCATGAAAGCTGGCTGGGCAACTTTGAGCCAGTCCCTCTTTCATACCCAACCTACCTCACTGTTGTTGTGAGCAAAAGAGGAGAGAAAGAGGTATTAGAGATGCTTGCCACCTTAATAATAATAATAATAATAATAATAATAATAATAATAATAATAATAATAATAATAATAATAATAATAATAATAAAGTTGGAAGGGACTTTGGAGATCATCTAGTCCAGACATGTCAAACTTGCAACGTTACATGATGTCGTGTGACGTATCAGAGCTTTTTCCCCATTGCCGGCAATGGGGTGGGCACGGTTTCGTTGTGACGCATCCGGCCTGTGGGCCGGCAGTTTGATACCTCTGATCTAGTCCAACCCTCTGCTTAGGCAGGAAACCCTATACCATTTCAGAGAAATGGCTATCCAGTCTCTTCTTAAAAACTTCCAGTGTTGGAGCATTCACAGCTTCTGGAGGCAGGTTGTTCACTTATTAACTGTTCTAACTGTCAGGAAATTTCTCCTTAGTTCTAGGTTGCTTCATGAGTAACCTTGAGTTACAATAAATAAATAAATAAATAAGTAAGTAAGTAAGTAAGTAAGTAAGTAAGTAAGTAAGTAAGTAAGTAAATTGTTACAACAGTGAAAAGTTACAATTCTATATATACTGCTCACAAAAATAAAGGGAACACAAACTCCTTCAGTTCCATGGTAAAACATCCCCTTTATTTTTTTGAGCAGTATATATTTATCTAGTACAAACATGCAAGTGTGTACGTATATACATATATTTCTAATACACTTAGAAATGTATTAGATGATAGTTGAAATGATTAGATGATAGTTATATTACCATCTATTTTTAATCTACTGTATTTTGTTTAGATGAGTTCCATATTTCATTATATTTATCCATACAAAGTCTACCTCTACAAACAAGTGTAATCAGATCTTCACTCCATTGAGTAAATCAGGTCATACAGTTATCTTTCCAATGTTTCAATATCAGTCTTGTAGCTATAGGAAACACAGAGAATCCATTTATGTTATCCAATTGTAACGACATAGTATACTTTATATTTCTATTTTTTCTACTCTTATTTTTTCACTTATTTTTAAGCATTTATATAGCATACAAATATGTATTTTTTGATAATCTGGTTTTTGTCTTTTGTTCATTTTGCTTTTGCTTTTTCTGTTATTTTAAAATCAATCTTTCATAAATCTTATGTTTATGAAAGTGAAGTCAAATATATAACTAAGTTTCAGTTGATATGACGTTCTAGGGTATGCAATAAATTTGTGTTGGAAGCCAATCTGGAATTGAATTAACAAAGGTCAATTTTCAAGCATTGCTATCTTTAGCTATTTCTTCTCCTACCCTCCCAAATCACTCATGCATACATCACTTTCACCAGTGAGATCCATAAGGGATTGACTGTCATTGGATGTACTCTCCTTGGCTGGATATGTCCATGGAATTAGGGGAAAAGAACATTCAGGCAGCAGATATGGAGCAATAGAGCACTGCAGGCATATTGTTTTGAAAAACCTCTGCAAGGCAACCCAAAACCTTGGAGGTACATCACAAATACTTTCTCTTCTGGGACACGATGGCAAGTAGCCATTCCCCCCCTCATTATTGAATTTGTAGGTGGTGGTGGCTGGAAATTTCAGACATTGCTCATATCAGGGTTCATCAAGATGAAACAATTTATGCATTGTATTTAAATCTAGGGAAAACACACATGTTGTAAGCCTTTCAGATGAAATGAGCAAGCCATTTTTCCTGCATTAACTATTCTAAGGTGTTTCAAATTGAAAGCATAATATTTTCAAACAGTTCTATTGTATTCTTGAATCCAGTTGTCAGCAGATAATTCCCTGCCCTAAAGATAGGTTCAACATTAAAAGAGCTGATGAATATAAATATAAACCAAATCAACAACAGAGCTCTCTTTTCTCAGTCTCTGAAAAGGTGACTTTTTCTTAATAACTCTGTGATAATTCTGGGATTCTTTCCTCAGTGTTTCAAAAGCATGATATAAGCCATAGACTACCTTGTAGTAGACACAGTGGCCACAAAAATATTCAAAATAAAAAAAAATCTAAAGAGATAATAATAAGGCTTCAAATTTATTTATTTTTTAAATCCTCAAATAAAATTTATTTTAAAAAAATTTCTATTAAAATCAGAGAAAAGGGGGGAACTGTGACTGATAAGACAAGCCACAAGGATAGATTTTTTTTCCCATGAACCAAAGTTGCTGCCTTCTGTATCTGAACTAATGCCAATTATCAGTGGGTTTTTTTTCAAAAAACAGGTAATGTTTTAGACACACAGTTAGAAACAGTGACAGGAGAAATCAGAAAGGGATGCCTGCCTTGGTTCTGGTTAACCTCTTTAATAGCTACCATTCTCTAATGTGTGAGCTCTCAAATTTATACTCTTCTGTCTTCTCCATTGCAAAATTGGAAGTAAGGGATGTCTGTTATCTATTTAGATAATTATGTAGACCTGTCATTGCTGCTCCAGGGTTTTCAACATCTAAAGTAGCACTTTACCTTCAAATCTGAAGCAGCCCTAGAATCATGTATTGAATCATTAATTTCTGGCCACTGTCAACAGAATAGCATGGGTTCTTTACTAATAAACAAAGGGCATTACATGAGAGAACAAATGTTTTGCAACAACTCATGATTTCATATTTAACTGATTGGTGTTTTTTTTTTTTCTTAAATCTGATCTTTCCTACGCAGGCAAACTTTTTGGATTCAGGCTACCTGGATTGAGTCTTTTATCCTACAGAAAGCAATCTTTGCCACAAGAAGATCCTGATGCAGTGATTGTTGATTCATCGAAACACAGCGACAACTCCATGGCCATGAAGCACTTTAAATCTCCTACAAAAGAAAGCTGCAGCCCCTCTGAAGGAGATGACACCAAGGCACTCATTCAACCAAGGACGTGTTCACCTCCAGTGAATATATCTGGGCCTCTAGATCATTCATCACCAAAACAGCAATGGGATCGACTGTACCCAGATATGCTGCATTCCAGCGCAGCCTTGACTCTTGCTCAGTCAAAAGAGAGCATTAGTAGTATGCGGAGAGCATCTTCAGTGCACAACATAGAAGGATTTACCATCCATCCCAAGAACATGTTTAGGGATCGGCATGCTAGTGAAGGTACAGTATTGGGCAAGGGGAGGGTGATCAATATTCATGAATTATGTCAACTGAATGGCTGGAAATAGAGTGGAACATGTGCATTCCATTTTTTATCCAACTAGGACAAGATCTTTGAAGTCTCTTTGTCTTTAAAAGCTAAGGGGAAAATCTAGCAGGGATGACATTTAGCACTCTATGGTTTATAATATGTGATCCTATGCAAAGGGAAGCTTATGTCCAAGTCAGTATGCTTCGTACTGTGTTATAAGTCTATGCACACTAATTTGAGAGTAAGTCCTAATAAATGTTCCCTCATTGTTTGGGCAGCAGTTTATTGTAAAGGGATACTAATACAAGATTGGTTGTGCAATGGCCACTTCCGTATTCAGAAGGTCTTCATCCAGAGCATGCACCCAGGAGGAATCCCTCCTCCAAAAAATGTTTCATTCATCCATCCATCCATCCATCCATTTATTCAATTTAGGTACCACCTGATTCCAGACTGACTTGGGGAAGGGGCTCACATAGATAGCAACATAAAAATAAACATCTAATAACACACTGAACAGAATATGGATGCAGATGTCATGCACCCAGCACTGGCTCCAACCACCTTAGCCTAGAACAGGGTTAGGTAACCTTGGCTTAGAGCCTGAGAGAATGGCCAGGTCTTTAAGATCTCCCAGAAAGCCACCAGGGTAAACCAAATAGGAAACCTGACTAGATGAGCTAATTCTACCTTATTGTAAGGCTACCTTAACAAACGTCCCACCACCACTTTAAACTGCCCTATAAATGAGGGTGGTCCTTCCTAAGTTTCTTCCTTTGACCATTAGTTGATTGGAGACTCCCCCCTCTCTTATCTGATTGTTTCATGTCTTCTCTTTGTCCATCAAGATCTTCATACATTCCATTACAGGTTGGAAGCCACCCAGTTTTCATAGGGAATTACATCCCAGAGAGCAGGTGCCTGCCCAACCTGGCAGTCTGAATCAGCAATGTGCATGCATATTGTTTTAAAAGGAAGATATTCCTTGATTCACAAATAAAACCCTTGTTCATCTTAATGCAGTTGATTGGTTAGAATGCGTATTTGACTAATTGAGCAATTGGTTGACTACACTGCATTACTGATTAAGCCAGGAAAACTGCTTAATCAATTACGATTTCTTACATCAAATTATCTTCCAAATTTAAAGAACAGTCCCTTCTGAGATACTGTATACCGCATCCATTTAAATGGTTGTCCCTGCTAATTTGAAAACACTTTGAGGACTCTGGGAAATGCTGAAGAGCAGTTGAATGAGGATAACTTTTGGTTCCTAATTCTAAAAAGAGAAAATTAGCCTCTCAGTCATTACATTAGATTCACCCAAATTAATGTTGGCTCCCTCAAGATGTATTGGGGAAACCATGAAGGGGAAAAAAAATAATCAGTTCGGAGTGTTTGGATACACAGTTTATTTCCCCCCCTTTTGCTTTTCTTTATTCTGCTGAATAACAGATAATGGTCGCAATGTCAAAGGTAATGTAAATTTATAACATCTATTGTTCAGTGCTTTTGAGAGACACATTATTTGGCATGTTAACTTGCCTGCTGTATAAACTGTACAAATGCATCATACTCATGCTAGCCTTTATAAAGCTGGGCACATTACAGGAATTACTGTTCTTTTGCTTGATGGATGCATCACATTTCTCTTTGCTCTCGATTCAGAGTGATGATAGATGGCCATTCAGAGGAAGCTGTGAAGGGATGTACAGTATGTTCTTTCAAAGCCATTGGCCTCAGTTATAATGCAATCCTCTACTTATCTATCCAGAAGAAAGTTCCCATCATTTCTCTGGGGCTTTTTCTTTGATCGCTGATTTGAGCAGCACATCCTGCTAAGCCCCTTTGATTTGAGTGGGGAGAGTTAAGCATGCGCTTAATTCTCTCCCATCAAAACCCCCAGGAGGGTTTAAAAGTTTGAACTTTGGCTGGATTGCACCTACTGTATGTAAGCTTGTTGAAGAAGGTAGAATGTGGACGCTGCCAATCCTATGCAGATAACGTAACTTGAAGTTTTCAAGATATGATCTTGTAAAATATTACAAATTGAGCTTTGCATGAGTGAAACTAGCCACCATTGATTCATTTTAAATCCAATTCAGTTTTATCTTTCCGACACCAAGACAATCAGTGAATAATCTGGACCCTTCACGTATTCCTCTTTTGTCTCCTTAAAACTAGTTTCACGCTCCTGGATGGCAGGGGGTATGGTTTAAGCTTACTGTAGTCTTCAGGTGTGCCTGCATGAATTCCATTTGCAATTTCATGTGGAAACGTGTATTCATGTATATTACATGCTAGCGTTGGTCCTTTTCGCCAGGACAACAACGCAAGCAAAGTTAGTCAAATGGAGGCATTCCTTTCTCTAGCTAACTAAAATCCTTTTTGCATATTATTTTCCATAACAAACTGATCATTTGTGTTTATAGCCTAAAATTTAGTAGGAGAGGCAGGATGAAGGAGGAATTTTCTCCTTTGTTCCTCTTCAATGTGTTATTTAAATTTTGTGGAAAAATCAATATACTTGATGAAATGTCTCCATCAAACCTGCATGGTGTGCATGTGCTAATGCCCACAAGTGACCCAGTCCTGGGAAGTCCTCCCATTTGCTTCTTGTCTCCATCAGCAGTGATTTTGATATTGTGTGTTGCCATGTTGTAAGTGAACAATTGTCTGTAAATGAACTTACTGCTGGCTTGAAGTACTCAAGACTCTGCCTATTTCTGCATTTATTGTCACTATAGATCCACATCAGTATTCCATAGTCTTTAAAGCCCATCTTAAGATTCTCAAAAGGAAATGAACATATTTCTGGTAGAAGCCTATTCCATAAGAACAGAGCTGTCATAAAGAAATATTCTGTTTCCTATGCCTGCCAGCCTAGCAGCTATGGATAAGCTCTTGAAAAAGGCCACCAGAAATCACAGATGGAAAACAAGCAACCATGGCACAAAGGACACCCAGGATTACCCAGGATTTGGAGTCTATCTTGATGAATCTTGTATTCAGGAGTCCATGTGCCAATGAAATTAAACAATATTCTTAAGTTTTTCTCCCTAATTTGGGCATTTAACTATTCAGGAAGTATTTATTTATGGAATACATTTGTGGTCCATTTTTCTTCTATGTCACAACAACTCTCAGAAGCTGGCAGAAGGTAATATGTTCAAGAATCCTTTTTCAGTCTTAGGGCACCAGGAGACAAGGCTGGCATCAGAGAAGGTGGGCCTAAAATTTAGGAAAGGTAAACAAATGACATCTTATTTGCCCCTTCAGCACAGATATATGAACCTTACATGGGAGTAACATGCTATTTGGGGAAAGTTGGGGTTTTTAAGAATATAATGAAAAACTCTGCTGTCCACAGAGAGAATCCAGAGGTCTTCAGGAATCCAAGAAACCAGAACTTTTTTTCTTGTCGCTCCTTCAGCATATGGTATTTACAAGCATACTGCCTTTGAATCTGGAACTTTCATAGAGCCATACTAACTATAGATTTCTTCTAGGTTCATAATTTTAAAAGTTCATGTGCTCTAGACTTTAAAAGCCCAAAGTTTTCAATCTAGTGTTTATCTAGATTAAGTCCAAGATATTACTCCACTAATGGATTTCTGCTTTCACTTGCCTTCACTCAACTAGCTCAGAAATCTGTAAACACTGAAGAAATTGATTCCCACTTTCTCTACAATTTTTCACTTTTTAAAATTTTCTCTAGTTTAAGGATCCTACAAAGATTAGATGATAACAGAATCATTTAACAGTAGCAGAAAGGATGAGAAGTCCTCATTCAAGAGTGGGTGTGCAATAGACACGAATTGTTTATTGCTTCTAGGCACTATATTCTGCCCTTCTTCCACAATTAAAGTGTTGGTAGATTCTAAACTAGAGAGTTAACAAGTCTGGTTGAAAAACAAAAAAAACTATAAAGATATTTCCTTTTTTAGTTATCTGGAAAGTGGCTCAAGACATTATATCAGCTGATATCTTCTTCTTTTTTCTTGTAGGTCCTTTTAACCATATCAAGTCAAGTCTATTAGGATCTACATCTGATTCAAACCTCAACAAATACAGCACCATCAATAAGATTCCCCAGCTCACTCTAAATTTTTCTGATATCAAAAATGAAAAAAAGGCATCATCACCTCCATCATCAGAGAAAACAATTATTGCACCCAAAGTGAAAGAAAGAACACACAATGTCACGGAAAAGGTTACACAGGTGGGAGATTTTTTTTAATATGTAATTGTGTCTCTTCTTTAATTTCTGTGAACACTCCACTCCTTCTCTTCATGTCTGCATGCCCTTCATGCTTTTGTTAGACTTGTGCAGTTGGTTCTTCTGGATGAAATGGAATGACAACAATTCTTCTAGCAACACAGAGGAAAATTAATGTAGATTAAATCTATAATTAATCAGAGAAAGGGCTCTGTGAGGGAAATAGTGCGTTATGTTGTTGTAAGTGAATTCTGTAGAGGAACATAGACTTATCCATTTAACTTGGGTGTGTCTGATATAGTAGCACAGATATTGTTCTATGGTGGCCTTCGTTCATTCTGCTTACCTACCTGACTGTGGATAATATGCAGAAGTCAAATGAAGTTGAGCAAAGTTTAGCAATTTCTTCCAGTCCTAAGAGCCAAGTTGTCATATGTTACATAGACTAGTATATGCACATCACATTACAAGAGTTAGACTATTTAAGAGAGACAAAATCAAGACATGAAGTTCAGGCTGGTAAGTATATGCACATCACATTACAAGAGTCAGACTATTTAAGAGAGACAAAATCAAGACATGAAGTTCAGGCTGGTAACTTGAGCACTGATTCCAGTACACCACCAAGGAGATCTTGCTATTCTTATATTTCTTGAATGTTCAATTTCCACCCAAGTCACATGGCCCTAACTATTTCCCAATCGTTAAAGTTGGTCAATCAAGTAAATTGATCTTTCTGCTTTTCTATTCTAATTCCTTTGTTACTTAACACAATATGGTGCCTTCATTCTTTCGAGTACTGCTCTGAAGTTGTTTCTGCAGGAGTTCATGGCTGGAGGTGTTCTTCTTCTAATTCTTTTGGGGCAAGGGGCTGGTCAATTCCATATTCTCCATGCTCCTCTCTTCCGTCTCATATGCTATCTCAGAGGTAGGCCCACTATCTCCCAGAGATGCTGTGTTTTGTAACTCTTCTTTCTCATCCTCTTCCGCATCCTCAACAAAAGCTTCGGTTTATTGTTGTAATATCCTTCAGACGTGCCCACTGCAAAACTGAAATTCAGAGATGCTACTGTAATACTTTCACTCTGAATTATTCATCTCTGGAAATTTTCCTTTTGATGAATAATATCTCTAAACTCTTCTGATAGCTGTACTTAGTAAGTTTTTTTTAGAGCTTTAAAAGATAAAACCCTTTTATTGTTTCTAAATCATTTTGTGAGCATCGGCATCTAAAAAGTGATGGGCGTTTGTGTGTTGATGCTAATAAGTTTAAATAAGCAAACATAGCAGAAAAAATACCTCGTTTTAGACCAGGGGTCTTCAAACTTGGCCCTTTTATGACTTGTGGACTTCAAGTCCCAGAATTCCTCAGCCAGCATGCCTGGCTGAAGAATTCTGGGAGTTGAAGTCCACAAGTCATAAAAGGGCCAAGTTTGAAGACCCCTGTCTTAGACCATACTCTGCAGAAGACAATCTTGTTTGAAAGAATGTCAGAGGAGAATGTTCCGTGGTTAAATGATTATTTTGACCAATTCAAGTCCATTTTAAGAAGAGCAGCCTTGAAGTTGCTCATCAACGGTAAACATCTGAGCAGCAGACTAAGCAAACTGTGAGCTTTCCTGGCAGTCTTTCATCTCGTACTTTAGTTTTAATAGATCTCAAATTCTGTTCATTTTTATAGGTTATTAGACTTTTATAGGGCTATAGGCTTAGTCATTTCGGGTTATTTTATAGATTTTATTTTCATATTTAATTTGATTGCTTGATTGTATTTTATTATATGCTAGTCTTTGAAGTGTCCTCTTCTCGGTTTTTCTTCTGTGGTATAATGGATTGCATTTCTATTAAAATTATACTAATAATTTCTGATTGTTCAGCTCTCTTTTCCATGATTACAGGTCAGTTTTTGTTCTTGTTTTTGGCCATGTGCGAGTCTTAGGGCTTGGCAGTTCTTCAAAGGGACTCTTTATTTGTTGCAGCTTCAACTGAAGGAGCCCTTCAAAGATGCTTTAGATTTTCAGCAGCGTGTTTCAGGAGGAGAAAAAGAGGCCCCAGTGACAAATGAATGCACGACCCCTGGTTCTACAGGAGTCTAAGGATGATTACATATATGCACAAATATTCTACTCCATTAACAATTCTCCAGTCACGTTATCTAGCATTATAATATTATTCTTAAACTTCTCTTCAGTTTTAAAAAAATACATAATTCAACCTATCAGAAAGTGAGAAAAAGGAAATACACTTTTTTCCCAAACTAAAGAATAGCTAATATTTTTATTTATGTATGTGTGTGTATATTAGCACAACTGTACTTTACCTGATAGCTATCTTTTTTTATAAATCTGGGTCAACATATTAAACTATATTTAACAAGGAAATTATTTTAATATTTTCAAATCCTTGTATAACTTACAATAGCCTAAGTCTAGCTCCATTCTGCTTTCTAAAGGCATAACAGATAATTTAATGCCGCAAGATGTCATTCATATTTATTAGTGACTCTATACTAGGGAGAAATGTACACAATAAAAATTACATATTTTTAAAATTAATAGGCACGTCTTTTACACTTTTATACACATTTACATAGAATTCCTGGTAGAATCTGTAGTTTAATATGCCAGCCATCTACAGCTCTCTGCATTCAACATTAAATTTAAAGTGTTTGCCAAGGGGGTCAAGAATGCTTTACAGAATGCTTCCAATGAATGTTGACATTTGTTTGTATTTCTGTTCTCTTTATGATTTAATCAGCTCCTGAAGAATTTGCAGGAATAGCTTTTACAAGTTCACCATTTTTAATGAGAAGAAAATCAATTCTCTATATTTCCTTCCTATTATAATTTCTTATCTATCATTCCCTAAACATAAACACCTGAGCCCATTACACACACATAGAGAGAGAGAGAGAGAGAGAGAGAGAGAGAGAGAGAGAGAGAGAGAGAGAGAGAGAGAGAGAGAGAGAGAGAGAGAGAGAGAGAGTGTTATCAGTGTGCATGGAACTTTATAAAGCATAAGAAAGTAGTTTCATGTTCTGAAAATTACCTTCATGTCCTGTTTAGCAGATCCTCTTGAAATTATGATCCAGATGAGAGGTTTATTTTTGCTTTTCACTTATTTTCATTTTGCCATTGTCTTGAATGTTTCTTTTGCTTACTTATTTATTTACATCAAGGGTTGCTTGTTTTTGAGATCTAGGTTTGCACAGCTTTTAGCATGCCACTCAAAAGTAGACATTCTTAGGACCAAAAAAAGAACAAAGCCAGGACCAAAAATAAATTTAATCTTGAATTTATTTAAATCCCAATACTGTGTAAACCTCATGAATTTAATTAGGTCCATTTTCTTTTACAGAAGAATAAATTCGTTGATTTAATTGGTCTTACGTTAATCTCAGGCTGTTTTAGAACTTATCCTCAAAGAACACCTGCACATGTTACAATTCTGCTGAAAAACACAAAGTTTTTCTCTAGGTTTCACAATCTTCCTTTTGTCCTTCTCCTTTCTTATATAAGCTATTACATATATGCTAAGAGAACATATATGCTAAGAGGAAAAAAATTGTGGAAGCTGAACTTCTAATCTATTGATTTCTTGTAAAACTGGTTCTAGTATAGAAGGCCTTGGATGAGAAGAATTATGAGAGACAAAAGTTACTGAGTCTGAATCCCAGCAGACTCTACAGTTGGAGGTGCTGAAGATAGAGATGTGTGTGTCATCTCTTACTTGATTGTGTGCCATCATGTCCATATCAACTCTTTGCAACCACAAAGAAAGACTTTTTCCAGTTTGATCGTCCCCAACTTGGCCCTTCAGATTTCCCAGTGATATCAGTAAAATAATCCTCATCATCTTCTTACATCACTGCTGGTCTGCTGGCTTTAGCTGGGATGATCTTCATACTTTGGGTGGATCTTCTAGAAGTAGATACTGTTGGCACACATCCCCATTGTTTTGCACTCATTCTGCTTAGGAACATATTGACCACCACCATCATCACCACCAGGATGAAGTAATATAGCAGGATCTGAGTAGAGCTTCTCTCTAGTTGTAGAGAATAATAAACATATCTATTCTAACTTAATTTACAAAGCATTACCTGTGAAGATGCCTCAGAAGCTGCAGCTGCTTGCTTATTGACTGGAATTCAGCAGAACCACACAAATTCTGTGGAAGCTACAATGGTTGCCAGGAGCCTACAGGTCTAATAAAAGTAGTGGTAACCTTATAAAGCCTTATAGAGCTTGGAGCCATGTTACCATTTTCCCAAAGCATCCTCCTGCCTCTGAAATGTGCAACTTGTGATGAATTTGATATCTACTCTTTATTCTTCTGGAAACTATTGAAGACATCTTTGGTCCCAAGAGCATTCAGACAGGAAAATTTGAATTAGGATAGCACCAGCTTTTACTTTAATCTCCAGTTGCTTTTATGGGTGTTTTTAGCTCTCTATATTGTAAGCTGCTTATTACAATTAATAAAGCAAAACAAAGAAGCTTGCTCTGCTCCACTGCAGCAATAAACAGATGGTCCTGCTCTGTGGCCTGAAACTTAACCATGGCGACTGGATCAAAACCGCATGAAGATTAGCTCTGGTAAAAAGTAGATGGGATAATTTGCACAAGAAATAACTGGGTCTGAAATCTCAAGGAGGCTTCCAGTTTCTTATGATGATTAAGAAACAGAAAATATTATTCTAGCCCAGACCATGTGAGATAACAATCAAAATTAGCAGTATGATACACAGATGCTTCATGAAACTAAATTTCTCATATTATCCATACACGAATTTCTTGTTAGATGTCTTTTTAATGAATATAGGAAGTACTGCAAGTTTCAAGAGGAGCAGTGGCCTATTGAAATTGCACTGTGAAACTCAATGCAGCTATATTCTTCCTCTTACAGGGTGGTTGTGATAGCATCAGATAGAAACAAAAAGAACATTTGCACTTTAAAACTGATCTCGGCATTACAGCTGAAATGTCCCCAAAGACAGATTT